CGAACACCCCTCGCAGAGTTTTCTTCTTCGCAGCTTTTATAGAGCGAAAAAAACGAACGGACTCATCATCAAGAAGAGTCGGGAGCACCTCCAGTGCCTCAGCGTCCGTCCACCTTGCCGTACGTACCGCCGCCAAAAATCTGCAGGCGAACGCACTCCAATCGCCCACGATGGAGAACTCTTTGACGGTTGTAAGGTGACGACTGCGACTCCTTGGCTTGCTTCCGTCCGTCGCTGACTCTTCCGGCGGTAAGTTCAGCAAGGCGTCGCAACGCTGTGTCGCCAAAATGGCGGACGATCCTCGCGGCGGCCCCAAAATGGCGGCTTCCCGCCTTCCGTGGTGCGCCACGCCCAAGATGGCGTCTTCACGCCGCGTGGCCGATGGCGGCGCCATCGAAGACGACCCGGGCTCCTGCCGATCACCACCATCACCTTCCAACGCCGCCCTTGGCGTGACAAGGTCACACAACTCTGTGATGACGGTTTTTAGGGTTGCCAGTTGCTCCGCCATCCGGGTCCATCTTAAATCTTCGTCCTTCAACGCAGATGGGTCGGACGAAGGGGCCACCTCCTCGACGCCCGGGCCCTCACGGATCTCTCCCTCCGCCGAAGTGAAGCCGACCGCAGGAGGAAGATCGTCGTCGTCCGAAGATGAAGCCGACGCCGGGGATGGAATATTCTTTTTCCTCAGATGTTTCGCCATGCCGTTTCACTTCTGACTCCAGTGTAATAAAAGGACTCGGACACTTCCTTCTGTCTTCGTGTCTTTTATTGGGTTCTCGTCTTCACCCACACGGCACTCTGTTATAACTCTGTATTTGTAGCCCCCGGCTATTCACTGCTATTATAGCTTCTTCTTCCCTCTGACTCTCTGCTTCATCTACTGTAACCTCCTCCCTGCAGACTCGCTGCTACCTCTATGCAGACTCCCGCTGCTACCCCTATGTGCAGACCCTCTGGCTGCTACCGTATGCAGACCCGCTGCTGACTCTGTATGCAGCCCCGCTGCTGACTCTCTGTGCAGCCCCGCTGCTGACTGCAGCCTCCTCGCTGCTTCGGGTCGGTCACCGCTGGCCAACGGTGCCGATCCTCGCTTCCCCGTGTTCGTGGCGATCTCGCCACCCTCCGCTTCGCCCTTCGTGGCCTCTCTCTGTTCCTGGTTCCCCGTCACTCCCGTCCTCTTCCGGTTCCCCTCCTTCTATAGCCTAACCCCTCACCCCCCCACGTGACCTAACTCCTCCCCTCCTGACGTCACCTCCGGAGGGCCGTTTACGCCCGCATTACACTTGTAAAGACGGTGCTACGTCGACTAGGAGGTCGCAAGTGGTGACAACAGGATGGGGAGAGCGGAAGGGAACGATTGCAAGCCCCAGGAAGGTTCGAGAACAAGGGCGGAGTGATGGACACGCTGACTTTCTGTCATCGCTGTCTTCTCGTTGTCACTCTTCACGGTCTCCGCGTCGGCGCTTTCTCGCGGTCCCAAAGTCGCGTTGAAGTTCAACAGAAGAGCCCTCCACAGTTCGTGCCCGAAGTCATTGCACAAGGGATGAAGCGGAAAGGTCACGTGTGGGGGTTGGGAAAGACTTTGGATATAGATTTTGCTTTTGGATCCCTGTGGCCACGTGGCCATGAAAGTCAACGATTCGATCACCTCCCAGTGGCCTTTGTGGTTTTGTTTTGCAGACCGGTTCACCAGCATCGGGCTCAACATTCAGTGGTGCACGAGTCAAACCATTCGAGTGAACGGTCTCTTGTGTTTTCGAGTTTGTCAATAAACAAGCGGCTGATAGCCAAGTTTGGCAACTGACCCAGCAGGAATTTGAGGAGAATGAGTTAATTAAAATCATCTTTCCAATCGTACAGTAATTGCCATTCAGCATTCATGTTGAGTATTTGGAAACGAAGAAACGCATACATGTTTCAAGCTGCGTTCCATTTTCTCCTCATGCTACGGCGATCATATCGGGTTTTCTTTTGTCTTATCATAATTCACTGCTTTGATGAGTGCGGGTTGGTGAAGGGGAGAGGTCAATATACGTTGAATTTCTTTAGCACCGTACGTAGCCAACCATGCTAACCTTCGGTGTGGGGCAAGAACACGAAACTAAACACAAAAAAGCAGTTCTAAAGAAATGAGTTTTCAATCTATATTTAAAAGTGCCTAGCTCCAGTGGCTTCCGAATATCGGAAGGAAGAGCGTTCCAGACGGCCGCAGACCGGCTCTGATATCAATCATTGCTGATAGCCGTGGCCCAGAATCGAATTCGTGCAAGCCTCGACCGCGACTCCACCGTTCATTATGCTTCTCGGGTGTAAATCTTCATGTGGAGAGACGCGGAGCTGTGTTGTGAAACAAAGGAGGGCTGCTGTAAAAACGTGAATTATATACATATTTAAAAATGTGTGCCTTATGGATTGCTGGCGTATTGAATATCACTCGGCATGTGTGGCAAATTATGCTATCATAGTCCCCTACTGGCATCTTTGGTGGTGGAATATTTACGGCTCGAGTTGAATTGTTCTTGGGACGTGTCTTACTCACGCTATAAAACTCTATTCGTGCCACAAAGCTGACACTGATGTGAAACAGACCGCACGCTATCGCCAGTGCTTTCTCAGAATTGGATTCTTATACTTTCTCAAGTTTACGTTTTAAATTGTATTACTTACATTTCCCACTCGCTATCATGGGTTTGTCTTAATAATGCAAGATCGATTAATTAATTAAAATCGATTCCAAGGCTGACAATAAAGCTCCGGGAAATACAGAAGCGACTGGAATTAGAGTCGAACACCAGATTGCTAATTGCTTTCCGAAATACTTCATGGTTCCTAAGTTGACGGGCATCATTTGTGTTACTCGATTTCTACGGACAAAATTTGTGAATGTTAAACAAAAATCCGATCAATGTAGACATTCTGACGTGATTTACAAGGCGGTCAAGACTGTGTGCGGTAGTTGTAATCTAGTTGGGGCGCTGTGGTGGCTAGGAGATGTTAACTACCTCGCCTGGTATACAGGAGGTCGTGGGTTTAATCCGACCCTGACGCCTGCTGTTGTGTATTTGCAGTTTGCGTGTCTCTCTCTCCTGTGGTCACGTGGATTTTTTTTCCAGGTCTTCCGGGTTGTCCCTACCACATTTAGTATTTGGCTTCGATACATTTCCACACGATAAGCCACTTCGTTGAGCTATCATTTCTGTCCAGGTCGTTTCTGAAAAAAATATCTATATAGCTCAGTGGGCCTTACCTGGTAAAATAAAACAATAGTTAATAGCCATACACTTGAAGGACCTCTACCTGGCATCCCTCACTACAGCCCAGTAAACATGCAACGTTGACTTCACGTTGTAATGTCAGCTAACGTTGACCTGGCATTGCATGTTTATTGTGAGTTTCCACAGAGGTCAGCACTCCAGTTCTGCTTCCTTGCCGTTGGCCTCTCGTGCTCCGTTTTCACTGCACAGTCGAACCGTGCTGGGGCAGTGCCAAGCCAGCACAGCACGGCTCAGGAGGTGTTGTTGTTTTTCCCACTGCACAACCCGAGCCGATCAATAAACGTGCAGATGACGCGGTGACGCTTCGTTCGAGTTGTGATGTGTGAACGTCGTGCACAACCAAACGCATCGTTAGTCCCACCGCTGTGTGGACCTCTGGGTGGTGAGATTTCGCTGGGATGTCTCCGTTTCCGCGCACATGCATCGAGACTCATGACGAATGCAGTGGCCAAACACAGCAATGCCGGACCGTGCTGATAAACAACATCGCCATTAAGTGACTCTGTTCTGGATAATTCTATTTTTTTAAAGATAAAACATTTATTTAGATAACAAATATTTGTTACGACTTTATTATGTATATAATTAAAATAACAGTTGAACATTATTGAAGTAATCTACCTAAAACTAATTTTGAGAATAAAATAATTACAAGATTATACTCCAAATTGTTCATCCTTAAGTGGCTCAAATGATTACAACGTACCCATTTAAAGTTTTCAAAAATTCTAAAATTCGGTCATAAAACATTGCAATATCTGAAATCCACAAATCTAACATGAAACTCATGCTCATTACATGGCCCACAATCTGCAAAATAGCCCGTAACGCCGTCTCTATAACGAGGCATTTTATTACCGTTTTATGCTTGCGCAACGAATCCACTTTAGCCATTACGGGTGCCAATTTGTGGTTATGACTTCCAGAGTAACAATGGACTCTATGACAACCCACGGAATAAAATACGACCCAAAGTCGATTGTACTTTGACAGCATAATGGATTTTCATGCACATTTTCAGCCTGTAACTCATATATAAAATTGTCTTGGGGGTTGCTGTCAGGGTCATGATTCTGTACACGAAATATCATCTATCTTTCCGGTGTGTGTGTGTCTATAATCCAATTGATGACGTGTCATGCTTACCGTACTTTGTGTTAAATTGTGCAATTTAACTTTGTAAAAACATGCACGTTGAGAAGAGAAAATCCCTTTTGCAGAGCCTGCTCACAAAGCCCACGTACAACCAACCCCCTTCCACAGTTTTACTTCAGAACCCGGGCAGCCCCCACTCGACAGCAGAAAGAAAAAAACATTTTTTAGACTGGGCCAAGTTGCAGAAAGGAAATTAGAGCCAGCTGGCAGACAGGATGTAGGCACAAGACCCGGCTATACCTAATAGACTGGCCCGAAGTTTGGGATAGATTCGGTGGTGGGGGGTGTTTGGGGGTGGTATGCTAAATTACTCGGAATAGGGGGGGGGGGAGAGGTTGGGGTGGAAACCACGCGTATGGAGGTAATCTGGGAAGAAGCACTGGGGAGTGGAGTGAGAGAGTGTGTTGTTGCTGGTCCTGTGGGCGAGTTGGCGTGGAAATACACAACCTTTGTGTGTGCACGCGAGAGCGCGCGCGCGCGTGTGTGTGTGTGTGTGTTGCCTTGATCATGAGATGCTGCTACTCCTGCCGACCGGGCTTCTACAAAGTCTAGCTGCTGTTGGAGGGGGCGGAGTGTCGGGGAGAGAGCGGCTATCCCTCGCATCGCACGTGGGGGAAAAGAGAACAATCGAAGGGAGTGTTGTGCCACAGGAGGCAGTGGAGGTAAGAAAGCCCCTCCTACTCCCCCCGCTGCCGATTACCGTCTTGTAGTACACGGCTCGTTGGAAGTGCACGCCTCTTTGCCAAATGTGTGTCTGATGGGAGCCTTCGGCGGGGCCGGTTCTAAGCGACGGGCAGAGAGTTCCCCGTTCTTGTGCACGGTTATGCAAGCCGGGCTCTAAGTGCCGCCACGTGTCTTCCTCGTGTCGCTGTGTTGCGTTGCCCAGGACAGAATATGCGTGCAAGGGGATTGCAGTCTCTGTGTTCCTCGGCGCAACAACGGATCTTGTTCAGTGCATCGAGCACGGCCGAGTGTCGTTCAGTAAACGCGAGACGTGGGTCCTTGGCCAAACAATTCCCAGGATGTGTCTCGTTATGCGCTCCCGAGTTTGTTGCAGGACGCGATGCGGAAGAAGTCCAACAACAACAACATCAACGCGTATACACCATTGACGTCCTCTGTGAACACGTTACAATTTGTACACAGCGCCGTACGGCAAAGCAATCGTGGAAGGCGACTCATCTTGTCAGAGGCTAATCAAGATTTGTTGCAGATTTCGGGGTGGGGTGAGGGGCGGTATTCTGGGGGCAGCTGCTTTTTCATTGCTTACATGGCTTTATTTTGGTGATTTCGAAAAGTGTATTGGTTTACACTATGGGGACCTCATTTGCCAGTAAAAATATGATAATTGGTTCTTTACCCTTCTACCTGGCAACAAAACTGACACCTTTTTACAAGGAGTGCAAACAGAAACTGACTCCTTGTAAAAAGGTGTCAGTTTTGTTGCCAGGTAGAAGGGTAAAGAACCAATTATCATATTTTTACTGGCAAATGAGGTCCCCATAGTGTAGATGCTTGCCCCGAGCTCTCATACTCTGATGGTGCATTGTCTTTGAGTTGTGCGCCTTTTGGCGTCTTCTGGTCCAACCCATGTGAGACTAGGCTCGAAGGAAAGCTGTCTCGGGTGTGGACCAATCAACTTCAAGGACAGTGCACATTATCAGAGTTATGTCTTTTGTTTGTATTTATGACTGCAGGTATTGCGGTCTATGCAAACATGACTCCTTGTAAAAAGGTGTCAGTTTTGTTGCCAGGTAGAAGGGTAAAGAACCAATTATCATGTATTGGTTTAGCCATGTTTGTTTGTTGTAGTACAGCGTTAGACTGATGGCCTTAATCTAAGTTGTCTTATGGTTGTTGTTGTTGTTTGACTTGCATCCCACTGGGATTTTTGCACACAGCGTTGGTGTGTAACGGTGCTTTCTCTGCAATATTTTGCTGTCTTTTCTTGGATTTTCTGTTTGCACTCAGTCACATATTCACTTTAAGATGTTTTTTGTTCATGTTTTTGTTTTTTGTTTGTTGCGGTTGCACCCGATTCAAGAGCCGAATGGCTCACAGGGCTATACCTAATAAATGAACTTGAACTAAATGAAATGAACTTGATCATCGTGGTGATGAAGTATGGACGGATAATTGATTATCACAGGCTTGGGGATGCCTGGCATCGTCCGAATTGAAAAACTCAAGTCGAGATTGGAAAACTCATTTCTTTAGAACTGCTTTTGTGCGCGTGCGCGTTTAGTCGTCATTCCCCGTCCGCTTAAATAATCTCGGCGTACCCACATTACATTCATCCAGCAGTGGATGGACACCGAGCACATGGTGGTGTGGGTTGTTCACAGGGTGTCTAAACACAGCGGTGTTGTTGCTGGCGTCAGGCAATTTATAGGGCAAATGAAACCCGAGGGATGCACGTTGCGTGCCAATTACAGCGTGTGCAGTGTAAAAGCTGCTTTACTTCACCAGTGAAATACACCGTGCCTTGCACACGCACACGCACGCACACACACACCCCTACACGTGCTTGCATGTCGCCAGCCCACTGCTGGATGATGAAGGGCTCCCGCACGCCGTGTCTGTCGGGAGGTGCTGCGCTATGTTTCTCTCTCTCTCTGTGTTTGCGTTGGCATTGCTTGGGATGTCGCTGGCTTTACGGCGCCTGGCTCCACGCAGCGGCTTCCAGTGGCTCAGCCGGGCCAGCTCCAGCCCAGTAAACGTGGAACGTCGGCCCAACGTCGGGCCAACGATGGCTGAACGTTGGGCCAACGTTGGCTGAACGTCGGGCCAACGATGGCCGAACCTCGGGCCAACGTTGGCTGAACGTTGGGCCAACGATGGCTGAACGTCGGGCCAACGATGGCCGAACCTCGGGCCAACGTTGGCGCTGCAGTTGGAACTGCTGGGCCACCGCTGGGCCCAACGTGGGCCCAACGTGGGCCCAACGTGGGCGTGTTTTAGTGGGAGGCTGGCGAGCGGCGGCCACTGTTCCAAACTCGTCAGCTGTTGTCGCCTGGCGCGGACTTCCACAGAGCCACAGGAACCCCCCCCCCCCCCACATTAATCAGCCACGCATTTTATTGACAGTAGCCGGTAGTATTGCAAATGATTATTACAATAAATGCCACAACGTGTGTTCGACGTTAACAACAAATGGACAAGAGTATATGACACCCGGTTTGAGAACTTAACAAATCCACGGGTGATTCAGCAATAACCCGATTTTCGCCTTTCTCGTTATCCGTCGCCTCCTCTCAGCCTTCGTCTCCTCCTAATACCGACCCTGTTGTAAGTCGCGTTGATTTACCTCGTTTCGATATTCGTCGTCGCACATTTCAGGAACGCATCCCCGACGTAAACCGAGGTGCGGGTATCTTGCCCACAACGGTTCCCGGTTGACCAAGTTGGCACGGATGTATTGATTCATTCGCTGAATAACACATTCCTGCGGAGGGAGCTGGTAGGAACGTTGGGTTGCTCGGTCAATGGCCAGGGTCAACGGCGGCGTGGTGTATTCCGCAAATATGGCCGACTGTGAGGGCGGGCACAAGCCGGCGTGAGTAGGTTAAACGTTGAGTTTTATGAGGGCGCCACGGGGTGGCCAGCCCCTCCCCACCCAGCCCCACCCAGCCCCACCCTCCCCACCCAGCCCGTCCCTACCCTCCCCTCCCCACCAGCCCCACCCAGCCCCTCCCCACCCTCCCCACCCAGCCCCTCCATCCCCACCCAGCCTCTCCCTGCACGACGGACGGACACAATAATCCCCTGTGGGCTGGTGGAACCAGTGGGTTCCTACCAGTACAAATGGTTAAACTTAACGATACCCGCATCACATTTCACGTATAAAGAATTAGGTGCGTAGCGATGCGTACATTTACATCGATTCCTGTTGCTCACAAATATATTGACGTGATCACGCCTGTTAATAATTCATGTTTTCCCAAATACAGCATGCAAATGATTGAAATGAATGCTAATGCAACTATTGAGATCATTCGTTAGCAACCGCAAAACAAAGCGAGTAAATATGGCGTGAAAAACGACGCAAATTTAATTGATTCCTTGAAACAGAGAGCAACCTGCAATCTCAGCAATGAATCCAGTTGCCACGAGGCACAGGTTGGTCCATTTAAAGTAACACAGAGACATGGGTGTATGTGTTACTGGTAGGAACCTCCTGGTTACACCAGCCCACAGGGGATTATTGTGTCCGTCCGTCGTGCATCCAAAAATGGGAGGGGTGGGGCTGGGTGGAGAGGGGAGGGTGGGGAGGGGCTGGGTGGGGAGGGGCTGGGTGGGGAGGGTGGGGAGGGGCTGGGTGGGGAGGGTGGGGAGGGGCTGGATGGGGAGGTTGGGGCAGGGTGGAGAGGGGAGGGTGGGGCTGGGTGGGGGATGAGAGGGGTGGGGCCGGGTGTTGAGGGGCTGGTCACCCCGTGGTGCCCTTATAAAACTCAACGTTTAACCTACTCACGCCGGCTTGTGCCCGCCCTCACAGTCGGCCATATTTGCGGAATACACCACGCCGCCGTTGACCCTGGCCATTGACCGAGCAACCCAACGTTCCTACCAGCTCCCTCCGCAGGAGGAATGTGTTTACACAGTCGGCAACAGTGGAGGGCACAGGTGGTGGTGGCATCTGCCAATCGTCTCTTAGGCACCCCACGTGTCCTCTAAATGTGCACCTATCCTGGTACAAGCTCCGTGGTGAGGTCGGCACCACTTCGTGGCGGTTGTTGTTGATGTGAGACAGACGAAGAGCCTGATTGATTGTCGTGGTTCGTCAGCTCGGTCAGTCCCCCCGCCCCCCTCCTGGACTGGCGTGCTGACATTAGGATGTAAACTTTACAACCCCATCTCCTCGGGGCACCCCCCCCCCCCCCCCCCCGTCTGCTTGATCGGCTGCCGGCTTCTCGTGGAGAATGATCGAGTGCCTCCATCCTCACTCACTGCGCCAGTGAATCGCGGCCAACAAACACTCGAGCTGAACCGGGAGCAATTGTCCACCACGGCAATTATGCGTGTACATTTGCTTTTTAATGTCAGACAGGGAGCGCATGGAGGGCTCACTGTGACCACTTGAATGCAGGAATGTATGGTTTTTAATTTGACCAATGTACGACCTATGAGATTTGACCGGGGTATAAAAACAATTGTGACCGCCTGGGAATTGAAATGATTGGTGTGTCGTCTGCTCCGTACTTTTTTTATTATTTCACGCCGCTTCTACAATGACAGAGGGCAGCATCCAGCACTGATGAATATCAGTAGTGAGAGTCAGGTGAGTGGTGAGTGTCTGGTAAGGGTCAGGTGAGTGGTGAGTGTCTGGTGAGGGTCAGGTGAGTAGTGAGGGTCAGGTGAGTGGTGAGTGTCTGGTGAGGGTCAGGTGAGTGGTGAGTGTCGGTTGTCACATTACAGCATTCATAGGACAGGCTGATGACATTCTATAAATGAGAAATATAAGCACATAAGTATCCAGAAACCAAGGTTCTATATTTTGAGCCATAAACATTTGGAAAGGAAGAATTAAAAAAAACGTTTTGAATCTGGGCCACCAAAAGTCAGTATGTGGAGGTTTTTAACGGTTGAAATATATATTTTTTATGAACAAAAAAAATCTGGCAACTTTTCTGGACGAGTGTGATTCTAAAGTCGATAGAAAGCA